CAAAAACACCAACAACCGCACCATGCGTAGCGTCCATGGATCTATAGCTCGTGTTTCAATGCCGTGTCAATGGTTATGCACGTACGTGCGCGGAATAACATGTGCGGCGGCAGAGGCAGTGGACAGACCCGATGTATTCGGCGAAAGCAAGAGATTTACTTTTTCCTCGGGAAGCATGTGCGGCACAGAGAGCCACACGGAGCGGTCACGGGGACACAAGACCCTCGAAAACAGCTAAACCAGGATTAAACCAGGACTAACAACGAGGGACACAGTGTGAACATATTCCTCCAGCCTCATCGCCCCGTGACTGTAAACAAGGCTGCTAAGGTTGGTTAGCCCGCACGACAAATATATTTATTTAGGTTAAAAAAAACAAAACAATATATATCGTTATCGACCGATATGAATGACTTATATCGTGATATAGTTTTCAGCCATATCGCCCAGCCCTAGCAGCTATACGTTTATAGGCTATAAAACCCCTGACCATACACTTTACAAACTGCTGAAGTGCGATCTTGGAGATAGCAAACTAGTTTGTTGTAGGTCTGAGTGCTGTCAAATGTGACAGTGTTTGCTGAGGGGCAGGACCAGGACCGAGGGCTACAGAAAGACCATAGTCCTATTCACCACGGTACTCAAACCACAAAAGTGTTCTTCTGACTTCATGATGTTGGAGAATACACACAGCGCATGAGAAGCATATCTACGAAAAAAACCCTAATGCAATATTGCCCAAAAATAAACTGCAAAACGGCAATGTCACAAAACAGCAAGGAGCAGGAGATCCACACACAGCACAGCTGAAAGTTAAAATGTGAAACTAATGTATGGTATGGACTCCTGCAAAGTGTGACAACACGACAGAGCCCATGCTAGATAATTGGATCTTTACATTCATCAAATGTATGATGAATGTATGAAAAGTGTACAAATTGTATACAAAGGACAACCGCCTGGGGGTTTAAAAATAAATTTGAAGACGTTTTACTTGAGCCACTAAATACATTAAGTTATTGTTTACATTGAAATGGGAAAATGTCAAGTTGTTACCAATGTTTGGAAAGTTACTTAAATACGTCATGTATTACATGTTACACTACAATACTACGGTTTCTGAATTGTAAAGTTGATCTGGCAGTGGTGATGGTGTGAGAGCAGAGCAAATGGTCCACTGTGCTTTATTAAGTTCAGTGTCAAAACAACCAACACCAGCAGAAGACATGGCTCCTCAGACTTTGGAAACTTCACATTGGGCCGTAGACATGTTGGATTGTGTGTTGTCGTTCTTCCTCCAGACTCTGACCTTGGTTTCCAAATGATATGTAACATTTGGGGAAGCAGTGCTTTGCCAACACCGTTTACAGTGTGAGTGGAGAGCTGCTGACCTCGACTGATATTGTTGGGCGATGGAAAGAATACTTTGAGGTTCTTCTCAATCCCTCAGTCACTTCCTTAGATTGGGAGGAGGAGGATCTTGAGACGGATACTTCCATCTCCCTGGCTGAAGTCACCAAGGTGCTGCAACATTGCATGGCCAATGGAGTGGCAGACCGAGGTGGTGATCCCTCCTCCAAAGCTGCCCTTGGTCAATGGTTCTGTTCACTATTTTTATGCACAGAATTTCTCCTCCAGCCAGGGGCGGAAAAGAGCCGTTTTGAGGACTGTCCTGTTTCCTATCTGTTGTGTGCAGACAATGATCTACTGATGACTTTAACCAACATGAGGAGTGACGGACCAGGTCTTTCGTTCTTATGCCCACTTTTATAATAATGTTTTACTGCTCTTGCTAAACCTTCTGAACTATATTGTCCCTGTTCTTGATCTGTCTGTCTGAAGTGGTCATACTTGCATGCAAAAAGCCATATCCCATCACACCTCTGAAGCTGTGCAGGGCAGGGCCTGGTTAGTACTGTGATGGGAGTCCTTTGGGAACTCTAGGTGCCACAGTGGGGCGGCTGTAAAGTTACAAACTTCTAAATAATAATAAATAATAATAATACAACTATCAGAGCAGCAGTCTTCCCAGTGATGGTGAATTCCACTGAACAAGACTGAGACCATTTAAAGACCATTTTAAGTTACAGTATCTGTGCGTAACATAAGCAGAAGCATTTGGTAGCGTTCCATATACACAAGACGCTATCTCTACACTTGCATCACTCTCTTTTGTTGGCCATTTTCAGATATCTTATTGAATTCGTCTAAAGAGTTCAAAATAAGTTTTTTTATGGCTACTCAACATGGATCCATGTTGAGAATAACTTAAACACAAATCTAACAAGTCTATTATTTGTTGGTTTCAACATGTGTAATTAGCCCTATAAACATTGGCCTTCTCCTGTTGAAGATGTTTTACAGCAGATAGAAGGCAAAGAATTTCTCTGTCCACCAGCTCCGAATATAACAAGGCAACTTCTGCCCCCTTGTGTCTAAACTGCGATTGTTTACATTCTCCAAAAGTTAACTCACATGAAACATCCCGCGTTTTAGCCCTGCAGTGCATTTTATTTTCTTGTAGTCTATCCTTGACAAAATTTCAGCTTTTTAAAAGTGAATACAAGGCACTTACGCAGGAGGATCCCAATGTTTTTCGTGGGGGTCGGGGGAGAAATGTTATATTAGAACTTTATTTTGAACGCTTGGGAAGTTTCTTTTGAGACACAGTTTGTACTTAAACGATATGAAACAATCATATCCATAACAGCACAGAGTCATGTGTGTCTAGACGTAAATAACGGGTGCCTAGGTTTGACCAGTTCAGACGTGCAGTTCGGCCTGGGTGCAGTAATGCGTGGGAAAGAGCTGTGAGAAAATGTTCACCGTCATATACTCTCAGCCAGTCTCCAAGAGGTCTCCATGGAGATGACCAACTCTCCACCGACCAATCACACGCTGCATTAAATATGATCTTTTGCCCTGAGTGTCTTGGCATGTTGTGAGTAATGATGTCATCAGTGTTGAAAGGACAAAGTGTGTACTCTTAAAGTGTAATACAGGGAAGATGTGATTCAATTCAGATTTCTTAGTCATAATTCTCTTACGTAAATAATGCAATATTTTATTTGCTATTTATACCTTGACACCGACGATGTCTTTATTTGTGTTTTGTAAAGATAATTTATTTAATAACATGTTTGTTTATACTGTGACATAGTGCGAAGAGTTTGAAAATGTAAGGTGGGCTGATGCTTTAGTCTGTTTGTCTTTAAGAGGTCAAGGTAAAACTGGAAAGATGGATATGGCTGTAAGTATAACTCAAAAACAGACCTTGTTCTTAGCTTGACGCTCAGAGGTTAATCCTTAACCCGCCTTATCTGTCTAAATGCTCCTTTTGGAAACTCGTGAAAAAGGCGCATCTTCACCTCAGCTCTGTTCGCCGTGTTTTTAATCCTAAAAATCAGCAGAACAAAGGATGAGGACAAGAACTACTTTACTTTTGGAGCAATTTAATAGAAAAAAATTCCAACTTGATTAAATTTAAAAAGATGTTAAAAAAATGAATACTGAAGAAGTCAGAGGAGGAAAGAGTCATCCATGTTTGTAGATCTGGGCCTGTTTTTTTGTAAAATTGTGTGCAAGTTTGAAATAGACTTGACTAGTAAACCCTGCGGAGCCTTCGGTCCAATCCTATCGCTGTGCTTTGCAGTCTGGAGTCCTGTTAAAAAAACGTGTTTATGGTCATACAATTAAACCTACCTCGATTATTTTTAACAACTTGTTATTCTATTTGACAAATGTCCTACAATATCAAGCATTCTCTGTAAACGTTTCCACAGAGACATGTTTGGAGTCATACAGTGTTCGTCCATTTGAGGAGCTTTGCAATGTTCTTTACTTTACAAATGAGAACCAAAAACACATCATTCCTAAACTCTATGACGGTTGATTTGCGTTTGTTATCAGTGTGAGTCGCTGGGCTGGTGTTAAACTGGATGTGTGAACAGGGGTCTGGTAAAAACGTCTAAAACATTGTGTGTAGTATCCTGCAATAATGATCCAGAGGTGCATGAGCAGGGGACATTTATCCTTTTAAAAGGCCAGCGCCAATATAGTGACCAAAACTATATTAGTAAATGTTGACACTTTCAAACGTATATTTGCATTTAGAACATGTAAGGTCTCATTGGTTCCAGTCCCAGACCCCGTTTTACTCTGTTCTAAGGGATGCCTCTTGTGCCACTTGCGGTTATTGATGATTGATTTTTGAATATTTGTCATTTTTTTCTATGTAAGACTTTTTTTTTTTAAGGAAAAACATGACACAAAAAATATCTTCAAATCCTCTGTTGTGTTTGGTCCATGTTTGTAAAAAGTAGAGCAGGAAAACATGACGAGCTGCTTGTGCGTGAGCTGATCTAAGGTCAGCGCCGGGGGAACACGGTCGCTCTAAACAAATATTTACAGTAAAAACTCCACTGTGTTTATGGCCACTTTATGACCATGTGCTCTCACTTTGGATGAACTCGAGAGGATTTTGTTCTCTTCCAAATGTCCCAGAGAGAATCTACATCAGCCACTAAATGACACGTATTGCACTTCATATTTTTGTGAATTCTGTTTTTGTACCCTCTGCATGTAACTATGTTTGACAAACTACTACAACAACTCTCACAAGAAAACTCAGAGTTAGGAAGAGGTTTCATTTTAAGTAAGCCTCGAATCTGGGTCTACAGACACATCATATTATTCAAGTGGATCGTTAAAAAAAAAAAAGTAGTTCTGCGTGCCAACAGACATGATCACGGATACAAGTGGACAAATGAGTTTCCTTTGGCCGCTCCCTTCTGCTGCGGTCATGTCACACGTCTGTCATCGTGTGTGGAGCTTATGGGAAAACCATCGATGTTGTGAAGTATTTTGTGTGACACTGTATAAATCAGGATTACTTGAAAAGGCTCTGATTGAAAGATGAGAATAAAACCAATCAAGTGCACTTGACAAAGTGATCTGTGTTCGCTGCTGTAATAACAGCCTCTGCTCCTGCTTTCTTTCAGGAGGTGGAGATCCTGGACATCAGCATCATCCGAGACACCAGAACAGGCCGCTACGCCAAACAGCCAAAGGTCAGTGTGTCCTGCTGCTGCCACCTGCTGCCTGCTCCCACCTCATGTGTCACTCAAACATGCGTGTGTGTGGGCTTGTATCTGTCACAATGTGGGGACTCTGCATATCGCACTAGGACTGCATAATTTTAGATGATTATCCAAACATTATTATTTTGGACTGACATTGTGGTCAGATTTGAGATTTATGTTAATAAAAATGTGTTTAAGGAAATAACATTTTAGAGGATAGTAATCAAATACGTCATCCTATAAAATAGGGTTCCGACAAGGTCTTTAACTTATTGATTATGAAATTATACCTTAAAAATTCTAAAGTATTGAAGTAATAACTTCTTACATCAGGTATCAATGGTTTAATTTGACATTGTGAAACTCTATTATTTTGATTAAATAAAGAGTGGCAGAAGTGGCACTCACCGCCCCCTGGTCTGACCTACAACACACACCATAAGTAACGATCCAAGCAGAAGTGCAAAAAAGTAGATAAAGGTCAAATGGTCAAAAAAAGTTTGAAAAAGACATGGATTTGACTAGGGGTGTGACAATATTTCGATTTTTCGATATATCGCGATACTTTCTCCCGTGATTCGATTATCGATACGCATTTATTTTTATTTTTACAATTTTATTTTTTTGAATTGGTATCAATACTTAATATTTGGCAACATTACGCATCTCCATTCTATTTATCATGAAATAAAGAGTAATTGTTCTTTTTTTTATGCCATAAATTGGCATATTGTATATTTCTGACCAATATATCAATAATCGTCATATCGTGATATCGTTATCGTGATATTATCGTTATCGTGATATTATCGTTATCGTGAGCTTTGTATCGTGTATTGTAAGGTATCGTGAGGTACCCTTAGGTTCCCACCCCTAGATTTGACATGAAGAGCACTGTGGTCCTCTGGAGCCTTCCCCCAGGTCCTCAGTCTCAAGGTTTTCTTCTAAAGACGCACACTCGTGTCTCCAGGCTCAAGACAGAAACAGAGCTTTGATGTCAGTGAAGCGAGGCTCCAAAGTCTGTTGTGTGACATAGACTTTGTTTAAAGCGGAGTAGAGAGGTGTAAGTGATGCTTTCATTTGAGCTTTAGTTTCTGCAAGACTAGTCTTTCTGTTCATGCATCAGCACGGACTCTAACCTCTGCTCATTTTGGTGTTCGCCACAAGTTCTAACACCCCTCCGGGCGCTCAGCTCGCCACCGTACCCCAAACTCTGACAAACCAATCCTTCAAGATTCAGCACAAAGGCTTTGGTGAGGGGGCAGTGGTGGAGGAGTTTGTGCTGATTATTTTAAAAATGCCTCGTTTAAAGTAATATTTACTGAGAAAATAATGATTTTTAAAGATTTAAATTAAACTATTTTAAACATACTGTGTCTGGTATAATTTAGACATTGATTTTTACTTTCCTTTTTACTGTCCTTTTTTTTTTCATATTTTTTTAAATAATAAATACTATGCATTGTGAAATAAAAGTGAAATTTTAACATTTTAAACCCATTGCCCAGTAGATACATACCTTTACAGGCGAGTGATCAGGGTAACCACTCTTCCTTTCCTTCTAATTTGTAAATCTCTTGAAAAATACAATAATAATTGTACACACAAGTTATTTAAGATAAGAGATCCTTTATTTGTCCCACAGTGGGGAAATTTCAATGTTGCAGCGCATACACAGGACAGTTGTAAGAGCACACAGGGAGCACACAAAATATACAATCTAAGTAGCTATGTTTCTTAGCTAGTTGTAAATGTTTCAATATATCTATATAAATGGTGCAGTTATTTACTGTAGTATAAGGCAGGGTAAGTAGATAAAGTGATATTCAGCTGACATTGCACATGATCGTAGTATTTACTCATTTACATAGAATGACATGTACAGACTCAGCAGTTCTCCTTGTACAGTCTGACAGCAGCAGGAAGGAAAGACCTGCAGAACCTCTTTCACACAGCGAGGGTGCATAAGTCTGTCTCCGAAACTGCTCTCCAGAGCAGCCAGAGTGTCCTGCTGCACTGTGTCCAGGGAACAGCCCAGTACAGAGCTGAACTTCCTGAAGACCTTGTCCAGCTTCTTCCTGTCATAGAAGGTCTTTAGGAGTGGCCCCTGCACTACAAAGGACCTGAGCCTTGGCTCTGGCCCTTCTTGAAGAGGGCGTCTGTGTTATGAGTAGGGGCGGGAACCTCAGGGTACCTCACGATACGATATGATGTGCGATACAAAGCTCACGATAACTATTATCTCACAATAAGGCCAAATGCAGCGATTGTTAATATATTGGTGAAAAATATACCTACGATGATATTTTTCTTATATTTATGGCATAAATTAAGTGAAAAAATACACTTTAATGACACTTTATCCATTTCTCTTGAAATAAAGTGAACAAGCACAAATGGCTATTAACCTGCACATTTTAGTAAAAATGTTACTTCAAAATTAATATGATCATTCTACAGAAATTGTATGTGCGTGTGCGCGTGTATGCGTGTGTGTTTGTGCGTGTTTGTGCGTGTGTGTGTGTGTGGGTGGCAGGACCCAAAGCTCCGCGAGGTCCTCGGCTTCAGAAAAGGGGAGCAACCAGAGGGGAAACTGGTCACTGTGGTATATGGAACTGATCTGGTCAACATCTCCTTCCTCAACTTCCAGGCCATGCAGGAAGATACTGCCAAGGTACAGAGAACACACACACACACACACACACACACACACACACACGAGTGTCCCAGAGAGAGGAGTGTGTGTGTCCCAGAGAGGCTCAAATACTGTAGTATTAAAACTGCTTTATCTTGAGCATCTCTGCAGAGGTCAGAGGTCAGATCTGGGCTGTGTCCCTCATGTTGTACTGTAATTGTGGTACTTTGAACAATTTCAAGGTTTTAATCTTTGTGACTAAATGTTTGTAATGTGAGGATAATAATATTTTCCTTGTTGTAGGGATGAGATGTGTATTTGTACTGCCACTGCCTTTAAAAGGTTTCACTTAGTACTAGGGCGCAGATATAGTAATAGTTGTGTATTATCCGTGTGTTCCCGAGCCGCTCCTTCCCTGTGAACATGAAGGAAGTCTGGGTGTTTCTGCTCGGACTGCCTCCTCCACACCAATGGATTAAGTGGAAGAAAATGGATGAATTCAAAGATTATTTGTCCAAGTTGTTTTGCAGTGGCGCTGTAACAGATGTGCAGACTGAGCAGAATGTGTTTCTCATGTGTCTCCAGCTTTGGACAGATGAACTCTTTACACTGGCCACCAACATCCTGTCCCAGAATGCAGCACGCAGCACCTTCCTGCTGAAGGCGTGAGTGTGAAGTGCAGAGCGGAGCGTCTGTCTAAGCCACGAATCATATCTAAAAGTGTCATGTGGAACATTCACATACAAATAATGCTCATCTTCGAAAAGAAGGAATTATTATTGGATGCAAAAGTTTTTCTTCTCACATGTATATCCTGTAAAACTGTTGCATTTAGAGCAGTAGGATTACAATCATCAATTGAACTAGCTTTGGAATTGATACAGTCTTCACTTTGAAGGATGAGCATCCTATAGTTTGTTTGGAAATGTTCTTAATTATGTTGTGTTTTCATCTAAGCTTGTTTTTAAGTAATCAGCTGGTAACCTTTATTTTGACTGCGCCTTTCACAGACTAGAATCACAAAGCACATCTCAATTACATAAAAATACAGTTTCAACAGTACGCACAGATTTAAATGCATTAAATAGCCGCAAGGACAATTTAAGGCCTACAAATAAAGGGGTCTTGAGCTGACTGTTGTAGGAGTCAACAGACACTATTGAACACAGAGAGAGAGGAAGACCTTTCCAAAGCTTGGGTGCAACAGACCAGAGTCTCTTCTGGTCCAGAAAGGGCTCAGAACCATCAGCAGATCCACAGACCTCCAAGCCCAACCGGGAGTGTGAGGATCAGAGTACTGTTGTAAGAAGGAACCTGACTATGCAACGCTCTGAACATTGAGATCAGAATTTTTAAGGGAATCTATTGGACACTGGCAGCCAATGAGGAGCTTAGAGTTTGGAATTCTATTAATGCGGATCAAAATTCTTACTTCAGAGTTTTTCTCAGAATTGTCAGACATCATGATGTCACTGGACACTTTCAGTGTCACCATCTCCATCGAGTGGTGTTGGTGGAAACCAAACTGAGATGTCTCATGGATGTTATTTTGATCCAACAATACTGACATTCTTTCAAATCTTGGACAAGAATGGAAGCTTGGAAATGGGCTTGAAGTTATTGAGGTCAGTGGGTTTGAGCCAATGCATGAGCCATAGTGGAGCCATTACAGTACTTAAACAACTTTTAAGTAATACTAACCAATGTTTGTACAGAGTCCTTGGTTGTTTTGAATGATGTTTTTAAATCAAATGTATTAGTATTATTATTAATAACTTAACCAATGGCTCCACTGTGGCTTCTCTAAATGCATTGAGAAACTCACCAGCGGAAAGAGAGTGGTTAACCATTGTGGTAACCCAGGGGCCCATACCTAGATGGAAGGACATTGAATGAGGGTTTCATCTCGGTCAACGGTGCAGAGATAGCAGCAGGGTTCCACACAACAGGGCAGAGTTGTTCTCTTTGATCCTCTTGATTGTAAGTAAGTAAGTAAGTAAGTCAGATCTAGCATTTCCCACCATCATTGTATGAGGTCAAAATTCGGTGCACCTCAAGGTTAGTATTTCCACAGATGTTACTAACTAACAAACACAGATGAAAACATAACCCCCTGATGGAGGTGATTATGCTGTATATTTACTCCTTCCATTAATGTGAATGGCTCTTACTCTGTGTCCCTCAGCTACACTCGGCTAAAACTCCAAGTCAACCAGGATGGAAAGATTGCAGTCAAGAAGTAAGCCATTTGTTTCCAGTTACAGACCTTTACATGAGAACGCCGTACACTCCTCCCAAAACTACTGTTCAGAACACTCCTGCACTAATCTGTTTGTTGTTGATATTCATTTTCAAAATCTAAATTGACCTCCTGTCATAAGCGTGTCTGAGTCTGTGCTGTCCAAGTCAGGACGAGCTGAGAGGAACAGAATGGCTCATAAAGCAGGAATAACGCAGAGTTTTTTCAACATTTTCCTGCGGGAGGGGCTGTTTATTTATGTTTAATTTATGTGTGATCCGTGGCGATCACACATAAATTTAAACCGGGGAAATATTTATCACTACGTTCGCTAATATTTACAGTGTATGGTTGTACATCTGTCAAAGGGCTTGATCTCTGGGATGGATCATGATTGATGCTTAAATCATGTTATTCTCTTTTAAAAATGGCATTTCCTGATACTAATAAACCTGAACAATACCATCCTGCTCTGAGCCTGTTCTAGTCCTGCTCTGTCTAGTCCTGCTCTGTCTAGTCCTGCTCTGAGCCTGTTCTAGTCCTGCTCTGTCTAGTCCTGCTCTGAGCCTGTTCTAGTCCTGCTCTGAGTCTGTTCTAGTCCTGCTCTGTCTAGTCCTGCTCTGAGCCTGTTCTAGTCCTGCTCTGAGTCTGTTCTAGTCCTGCTCTGTCTAGTCCTGCTCTGAGCCTGTTCTAGTCCTGCTCTGTCTAGTCCTGCTCTGAGCCTGTTCTAGTCCTGCTCTGAGCCTGTTCTAGTCCTGCTCTGAGCCTGTTCTAGTCCTGCTCTGAGCCTGTTCTAGTCCTGCTCTGAGTCTGTTCTAGTCCTGCTCTGAGTCTGTTCTAGTCCTGCTCTGAGTCTGTTCTAGTCCTGCTCTGAGTCTGTTCTAGTACTGCTCTGAGTCTGTTCTAGTCCTGCTCTGAGTCTGTTCTAGTCCTGCTCTGAGTCTGTTCTAGTCCTGCTCTTAGCCTGTTCTAGTCCTGCTCTGTCTAGTCCTGCTCTGAGCCTGTTCTAGTCCTGCTCTGAGCCTGTTATAGTCCTGCTCTGAGCCTGTTCTAGTCCTGCTCTGAGCCTGTTCTAGTCCTGCTCTGAGCCTGTTCTAGTCCTGCTCTGAGTCTGTTCTAGTCCTGCTCTGAGTCTGTTCTAGTCCTGCTCTGAGTCTGTTCTAGTCCTGCTCTGAGCCTGTTCTAGTCCTGCTCTGAGCCTGTTCTAGTCCTGCTCTGAGCCTGTTCTAGTCCTGCTCTGAGCCTGTTCCAGTCCTGCTCTGTCTAGTCCTGCTCTGAGCCTGTTCTAGTCCTGCTCTGTCTAGTCCTGCTCTGAGCCTGTTCTAGTCCTGCTCTGAGTCTGTTCTAGTCCTGCTCTGTCTAGTCCTGCTCTGAGCCTGTTCTAGTCCTGCTCTGAGCCTGTTCTAGTCCTGCTCTGAGCCTGTTCTAGTCCTGCTCCGAGCCTGTTCTAGTCCTGCTCTGAGCCTGTTCTAGTCCTGCTCTGAGTCTGTTCTAGTCCTGCTCTGAGTCTGTTCTAGTCCTGCTCTGAGACTGTTCTAGTCCTGCTCTGAGCCTGTTCTAGTCCTGCTCTGAGCCTGTTCTAGTCCTGCTCCGAGCCTGTTCTAGTCCTGCTCTGAGCCTGTTCTAGTCCTGCTCCGAGCCTGTTCTAGTCCTGCTCTGAGTCTGTTCTCGTCCTGCTCTGAGTCTGTTCTCGTCCTGCTCTGAGTCTGTTCTCGTCCTGCTCTGAGCCTGTTCCAGTCCTGCTCTGTCTAGTCCTGCTCCGAGCCTGTTCTGTTCTAGTCCTGCTCTGAGCCTGTTCTAGTCCTGCTCTGAGCCTGTTCTGTTCTAGTCCTGCTCTGAGCCTGTTCTAGTCCTGCTCTGTCTAGTCCTGCTCCGAGCCTATTCTAGTCGTGCTCCGAGCCTGTTCTAGTCCCACCCGTATCCCTCCTCACTGAGCATGTGTCTGTCCTGTGTTTCAGTATTCTGAAGCTGTTCTCTGATAAGAAACGTGTGGAGACGGCTCTGGAGCAGTGCAGCCTCATCAACAACAAGGTACACGTCCTGCATCTTCCTCAGACACAGTATATTTACACCTGATTTTTCAGATTTTTGTTGTCATGAGACGGTGATCATAGACAGGAAGTGCAGGCGTTTTGGTTGCCTCTCCCACTCTCTCGTAGAGCAGGGAGGAGAGATGAGACCGTTGTAAACTACTCATCATTACTGTTGGTCTGTTACTTGGCAAAACGTTGTTGGCGCCACAGTAAAAAATAAAAAAAAACTCTATAAGGTGCAGTAGTCAAAGTGAGGGAGAAAAGCCGCGATTTATTGTCCAGATTTTACATTCACTTTTTTTTAAATCTATGAAATGTCAAGTCTGTATATAATGTACAGTATAACAACGTATACATTTATTATCTTTCATTGCAGCACAATATTTGGCAAAGTTATTTCTGAAGAAAAGTCAAGAAAATTCTTTTAAAGTGTCCATAGGACTGGTGTAGAACATGTAGAACATTCTGCTCTCTCCTCTCCTCTCTCTCCTCTCTCTCTCCTCTCTCTCTGCTCTCTCTCTCCTCTCTCTCCTCTCTCTCTGCTCTGCTCTCTCTCCTCTCTCTGCTCTCTCTCTTCTCTCTGCTCTCTCTCTTCTCTCTGCTCTCTCTCTTCTCTCTCTGCTCTCTCTCCTCACTCCTCTCTGCTCTCTCTTACTCTGGTCTCTGCTGTCTTTGCTCTCTCTGCTCTCTCTGCTCCTCCTCTGGTCTCTTTCTCTCTCCTCTCCCTCTCTCTGCTGCCCTCTGCTGCTGAGCACAGACACTACAGGCATGTGTCAGTACAGGGCCTGTAGGAAGTATGTTTTGCTTTCATTTCTTCAGGTGGAACCGTTATGAGTTTGAACACATTGTTTTGATTTGTTTGTGCCAGAACTAATGTAAGCTCCAGCAGCCAAACACCATACATTATTCTTAGTAGATACATAAAAACATTATAAAATATAGCAATGACATTATTAGAACATGACTGCTTGTTTTTGTTCGTCTGAAACTAACTTCTATCTTCATTTAGTATTTCGTCATTTCGTTTTTGTTTGACTATTAATTACTGCTAATTATTAGTTACTGGCCTTTGGGGCTCTCAGAGGTCAGGGGGGTCTCGATCATTGCTGCTTGATATTCTTCACTTGTTCTTTTTGATGCTAATGAATGATTGTACTTTTCATGGTTGCCGTTGTGTTACACTGCAGTCCGAGGGCATCAAGGCGGACGACTTCACCTGGGAGGCTTTTCAGAAGTTCTTGGACAGCTTGTGTTTACGACCGGAAATCCAAAGTATATTTGAAGAATGGTAAGATCCAATTGACATACATGTACGTAATTATTAAGTCTAACATGTGGGCATATACATGCTAAGTATACATATACATGCAAACATGTGTATGTTTCTATGCTGAAGATGCTTTCCCATCTCTCCTCCCAGGTCTTAGAGAGCGAGGGAAACAGTCCATCCGGTCATACGACCCGCAGCGTCCAATTAGCAGTAGTCTAGGCTTAAACATACACATACATATATATATATATATTTGTATTATATATATATTTGTATTATACTATTTATATAAAAACTAGATGATTGAGACCCAATATAATGAGACAACTGGGACCTAATGTAAAAAGGAATTGATTCCGAACGCTTCAGAAGGCTCACCACAGATGTACAAGAAGTACGTCTGTGGTCTGAGAGTAAAGATGTGTGGATAACCAGCTTGTGGGCGCGGTCTGAACACGCCACATAAAGCTCTCTTGTGATGTGGTTCTGTGCAGCGGCTCCAAGAGGAAGCCGTTCATCTCTTTGGACCAGTTCATGGACTTCCTAAACCGGACGCAGAGAGACTCCAGGCTGAACGAGGTCTTGTACCCGCCACTGAAGAGGGAGCAGGTCCGGCAGATCATGGAGCGTTACGAGACCAACAGCAGCCAGCTGGAGAGAGGTGCACACGCTTCACCTCCGGCTTTGAACTCTGCTCCTCGATGTCCGATTGTTACACTTCATTTCTGACACACATGATTTACAGAAACAGACAGGGCTCAAAAAGTCTCCATATGATCTAAATAAGTGTAGCATTAAAGTGTGCATACAGAATTCTGATCAATTAAATTGTGCGAGTGATGCACTCCCAAATTTAAGGATAAGACATAACGATGGAGACATCCACTCACAGATCATTCTTTTTCCTCCTTGAGGAAGCGTTAGTGGGACCTCCTTAAAGAATGCGTTGCAAGTAGTGAGAGTCAGAGTGCGGCCTGAGAGTGCGGCCTGAGAGTGCGGCCTGAGAGTGCGGCCTGAGAGTGCGGCCTGAGAGTGCGGCCTGAGAGTGCGGCCTGAGAGTGCGGCCTGAGAGTGCGGCCTGAGAGTGCGGCCTGAGAGTGCGGCCCATGTGCACTCTTGGTGTAAGGACAAATATTTGGCGTGAGATAAGAATTTTTCACCGCAGGAATAGGAAATGGGGACAAATGTGCTGCCCTGGAACGCCTACGAGCTAACATGTGACTTATGTGTTTGTGTGTTTGTGTGTCTGTGCAGACCAGATCAGCCTACAAGCCTTCAGCAGATACCTGGGAGGAGAGGAGAACGGAGCAGTGCCTCCAGAACGACTGGACATCATTGATGACATGAACCAACCACTATCTCACTACTTTATCAACTCGTCCCACAACACCTACCTCACAGGTACACACACACAAGCACGCACACATGCACGCACACATGCGCACACACGCACACATGCGCACACACACACACACATGCGCACACACATGCACAGGCACACCCACTCACACAAGAAAGCGTGTGCACTCGACCTAAAAAAGGTTCACACTATGAGCAGATAGTGCACTGTTGCCACTGGACACAACCCAGGCCCAGAGACGAGATGAAGCTCGGGCCACAAACCCTTTTTAAAGAGAAAACCATTTTATCTTGTATTTCAGTTTTTTAGAGCCAGGATATAATTCATGATGTTTCTGGCTTGTTTTAGGCGTTTCCAGTGGTTTTTCCTTCGATTGTCCGTGCTCCTGCATGGACGGAGGAAGGAGGGGAGATCATTGGATTTCACTAGTATGGCTATGGAAATCCAATGTAGACTAGTAGGCTACTTAAATGAAACAAATGTATCGTTAACTTAGTTATTTTGGAAGATGTTGGAACCAACCATAAATGTAATGTGTACAAAAGTAATTGGTGTACATCACAATTTCACTATCCGGCAGCACTTCATCTAGCCGGTTAGGAGCCGGTGTAGCAGGCCAGTTTAACCCCCCGCCAGAATACATGCATTAAGCGTTCCAAGCTTCCGGCTCGACCGCATGGCATTGTGGGTAGTTTTGTCAAAAAGGTGGGCATCAAATGACCCTGCCATATTGGATTACTTGTTGTGAACGTGAACTTTCTCTCTTGTTTCCAGCCCATAGATTGTTTTAATAGTTCAAAATTCACCAATTTCAGACATTTCGAAGGTAAAAGACATTTCATGTAACAAAAAAGCAATGCATTTTTTTCTTCTGCAGTATAGAGAGGTGTGCAGTATAGAGAGGTGTGCAGTATAGAGAGGTGTGCAGTATAGAGAGGTGCGCAGTATAGAGAGGTGCGCAGTATAGAGAGGTGCGCAGTATAGAGGTGTGCAGTATAGAGAGGTGTGCAGTATAGAGAGGTGTGCAGTATAGAGAGGTGTGCAGTATAGAGAGGTGCGCAGTATAGAGAGGTGCGCAGTATAGAGGTGCGCTGTATAGAGGTGCGCAGTATAGAGAGGTGTGCACTATAGAGAGGTGTGCACTATAGAGAGGTGTGCACTAGAGAGGTGTGCACTATAGAGAGGTGTGCACTATAGAGAGGTGTGCACTATAGAGAGGTGTGCAGTATAGAGAGGTGTGCAGTATAGAGAGGTGTGCAGTATAGAGAGGTGTGCAGTATAGAGAGGTGCGCAGTATAGAGAGGTGCGCAGTATAGAGAGGTGCGCAGTATAGAGTGGTGCGCAGTATAGAGTGGTGCGCAGTATAGAGTGGTGCGCAGTATAGAGAGGTGCGCAGTATAGAGAGGTGCGCAGTATAGAGAGGTGCGCAGTATAGAGAGGTGCGCAGTATAGAGAGGTGTGCAGTATAGAGAGGTGTGCAGTAGGCTTTAAACAAAGCTTTCACTTTCTCTGTACACATGTGAAATCTCCGTGCTTCAGTGTTAGCCTGTCCATACAGCTGACAGTACTGCCTCTGAATGTCATTGTCATCACTGAGGTCACTCCTGATTACGTGCCCCAGGTATTTGACTTTCTCTACATTCAGAAGCTCCACACCAGACAAATATGTCCAAAGTACAGCTTTGGGCAAGTTTATAAAGCTCACGTGTCAGCATTCGATCCTTGTAAGTAGCATAAGCTGCGTGTAGCTCTATAGTCAGTCGGTTGTGTTTACATCTAAAACCACAAGAAAAAAATGCATTGCTTTTTTGTTACATGAAAAAATACCTTACCTTACCTTGTCTGAAATTGGTGATTTTTGTAGACCACTGGAATCAATGGAAACGCCTAAAACAAGCCAGAAACATCATGAATTATATCCTGGCTCTAATAAAATGGTTTTCTCTTTAAAAAGGGTTTGTGGCCCGAGCTTCATCTTGTCTCTGGGCCTGGGTTGTGTCCAGTGGCAACAGTGCATCTGCTCATGTCATGTGTTCACGGAGGTGACTTTATAACAGTAGTATGTGTTCACGGAGGTGCACCATACGTTTATTTTATTATTAATCTGTACTTCCGGATCGGCGAACATGCTCGAAGAAGTTGCATAAATTCACAGGCATGAAAACTCACATGTTTAGAAGCACTATTGTCAACCCTGGTTTAGTTCTGGTTTAGTCCTGGTGTAGCTCCTGTTTTGGCTGTTTACAGTATGTATGTCTGCTCGCTCAGACCACTAATGTCCCCGTGACCACTTAGCGGCTCTCTGATTGGTCGCTGCGCGAGCGTCCCGAGGAAACGCTCAGCAATATTTATCTCCTGCGTGCGTCAGTTTTCCACTCCTGTTCCTCTGCCACGCAGTCCGTGTGTCTCTACCACGCAGTCCGTGTGTCTCTACCACGCAGTCCGTGTGTCTCTACCACGCAGTCCGTGTGTCTCTACCACGCAGTCCGTGTGTCTCTACCACGCAGTCCGTGTGTCTCTACCACGCAGTCCGTGTGTCTCTACCACGCAGTCCGTGTGTCTCTACCACGCAGTCCGTGTCACCATTGACTTTGTATTGAAAGTTGCCGCAATGCATGATCCGGTGTGAAAGCACCATAAGAGTTTCATGTGATAAGTAAGTAGATACATTGACTCATCACCTCACAAACAAGGTGTGAAAAGCAATCACACTAATTAGGCCTACAGAGTAATTAACAAACTACTTCTAAATTATTTTAAATAATTTTGAAGTTTAAAAAAATATTAACGTATATTTTGTTATTATTAGTTAAAACAAGAGGTGGTTAAACTGGCATAAGGGGGGTTAAAATAGCCTAGGCCAGTTTATACCCCGGGGCATTATTCTGGCCTTGGCTATTTTAACCCCGGGGTATGTACCTTTTACAGTTTGTGAATGTGTATCTTGTTATATGCTTTGTCCTGTAGTTGTCTTTTCTCTAATATTGTTTTGTGATTTTGATGTTGAATGTTTCACATCAACCTGTCTAGGGACAACAGATGGAAATTAGCCTATGGCTAAAATCTGACTTATTTACATATTTCTATATGTGGTCATTAATATGTACTGTCCCTGCTTAAATAAATAAATAAATAAAAATAAAAATAAATAAATAAACTGGCCAGGGGGTATAAAACGGCCTGTTACACCGGTTGAGAGCCGGTTGAGAGCCGGTTAGGAGCTGGTTGGGATATTAACAAAACTCAAGGAGCTGCAAATGCAAAGAACATCTGTGTGGGTTGCTGAAAATATGTGAAAGACAGTAGAGGACTGGCCTAACACTTTTGCTTTAGAAGACCAGAGGTAGGACCGAGATACTCTCCCAAGATACATTTTTTCGCAATCTGTACGTGTGTGTGTGTGTGTTTCAGTGGGACAGCTCACGGGCCTCTCCTCGGTGGAGATGTATCGGCAGGTCTTGCTCACAGGCTGTCGCTGTGTGGAGCTGGACTGCTGGAAGGGAAGACCCCCAGACGAGGAGCCATACATCACTCACGGCTTCACCATGACCACTGAGATCTCCTTCAAGGTCATAAGACACTGCAGAAACACATTCTCTAGTCTAAAGTAATCATTTGATAAAAATGACGGATGGAAACGATATTAAAAAGCTTGAATTTATATTAATGTTTGTATTTTCTATGAGCTGTTACTTTCATTTTATACTCTACTTATTCTAATGCCACAACAAATACACACAAACACAAAAAATATACAGAATTCTATGTACAAAATAATTTGCCTAAAATTATTAGCTCTCGTTGTTTATGTTTGACGATACTGTTCTTATCCACATAAACCAAATGTTGTGCTTTTGATTTGCAGGAAGTCATCGAGGCCATAGCAGAGTCTGCATTCAAAACATCTCCGTATCCTCTCCACCTCTCCTTCGAAAACCATGTGGATTCGTAAGTGCATCAACTTCTTACATTCGGTGATGTAAAAATAAACACATCTATATAAAGCCGTTTGTGATTGTGTGCCTGTGTTTGTGTGCATGTGGGGACCAGGGCGAAGCAACAGGCAAAGATGGCGGAGTACTGTAGGACCATCTTTGGAGACGCACTGCTGATCGAGCCTCTGGAGAAATATCCGGTAACTGCACCTCAAAAGCTGGAGGAATATGTACTGTCGTTTTAGGTTCTGATTTTGAGCAGGACTCTTCCAAATGGGAAATAGTTGTATTAGATAGATTGGATCATTTATTTATTTACATTTGCATTACAAACTCTGGGTCGCTCTCCAGATGTATGAAGTAAATACTTTGACATGTCCTTCTTCCACAGCTGGTTCCGGGTCAGGTCCTGCCCTCGCCCCAAGAACTTATGGGAAAAATCCTCATCAAGAACAAGAAGAAGCATTACCACCAGAGACCGTCGAGCAACGGAAGCATCCGCCGCAAAGAACTGGAGGAGCAGTCTCCTCCAACCAGTGGTACTTACTGTCCTCATACACACTCACACGCACGCACACAGTCTTTACATGCACACGCACACACTGTCAATACACAAACACTGTCTTTGCACACACGCTCACACACACGCTCACACACACACACACACTGTCATTACACACACGCCTATATTCGCTGCTTCAGCTCTTTAAACTTGTAACATGTAAACCTGCCCACATATGCAATGTATAAGGTGACGCAGCCACGTGGTTGACCGCACACACCGCGGTCAAGCGCACACACACATTTAGCCCACAAACACTTCAGCTGTGTGCCCCCGGCGACTTCCATACGTAACATCCATACGCATCCATCTCTCCCCTCTGTTACCGCCAAAGTTCCACACTAGTGCAGGTCAGAACTACATTGGAGCTTATATTTACACACACACACATACATGTATTGTACACACACACACATACACACATACATATACACATGTATTGTACACACACACATACCGGTCTGTCGCGCTCCTCTGTGTCTCGCAGCCCAAAGAATCCTCGCAAATACGCGGCTTCAGTCAAACACATGAAACCTGTTTGTGCTGCTGGTCCTTGTCATTAGATCAGATCCACACACATCACTTTTAAACTTTAGCGGAGACCTGCGAGACGCGGCTCGTCACTCGCTGCCCTGACCATGTGGACGAGCCGTCTTTTGCTTAAAAATGCTTTACCCGCAGCACAGTATGGGAAGATTAAAAAAGCAGTTCTCTGTGCGCAAAGGTGCCGAAGCTGTTGCGGGTTTTGGCGCCGCTGTCTCAGCTCTGATCTAGTAGAACGCATAGATAAACTTATGAAAAGTACGCGGCTCGAAATGGCTGCTATTTCAAAGAACGTGGAATATTTTTAACTACGCGGTTAACCGGTTTCAACCGGTTAATGAGGCTCGGTGGTCGGTCATGAAAATGCATAGTTTTTTACATCCCTAGTTTGTTTGTGTGTTTGCAGACTCCCCCCTGTCCAAGAGCAATGGAAGCCAGTATCTGTCCAACGGAGAGGAGAGGCTCGCTGAGAGGATGATCAGAGACTCGGAGCCTCGCAAGTCCATTGGTCAGTGAACACACCGCCACGGGTCCACCAGAGACAGGTTTAAATAAAACGGCTTAAGCTTAGTCTTCAAACCAGTGCTTATTTGTCGTCCTAAGTGAAACAAGGTCCTGGGTCATTAAAATAAATCCTTGTCTCAAATGTATTCCATATGTACAGAAAGTATTCGGCTCCCTTGAACCTTTCAACATTTCGCCACATTTCAGTCTTCAAACATAAAGATATACAATTTTAATTTTTTGTCATGAATCAACAACAAGTGGGACACAATCGTGAAGTGGAACAAAATTTATTGGATAATTTAAACTTTTTTAACAAATAAAAAATTGAAAAGTGGGGCGTGCAATATTATTCGGCCCCTTTACTTTCAGTGCAGCAAACTCACTCCAGAAGTTCAGTGAGGATCTTTGAATGATCCAATGTTGTCCTAAATGACTGATGATGATAAATAGAATGCACTTGTGTGTAATCAAGTCTCCGTATAAATGCACCTGCTCTTTGATAGTCTCAGGGTTCTGTTTAAAGCGCAGAGAGAACCATGAAGACAAAGGAACACACCAGGCAGGTCCGAGATACTGTTTGTGGAGAAGTTTAAAGCCGGATTTGGATACAAAAAGATTTCCCAAGCTTTAAACATCTCAAGGAGCACTGTGCAAGCAATTATATTGAAATGGAAGGAGTATCAGACCACTGCAAATCTACCAAGACCCGGCCGTCCCTCCAAACTTTCATCTCAAACAAGGAGAAGACTGATCAGAGATGCAGCCAAGAGGCCCATGATGACTCTGGATGAACTGCAGATAACTACAGCTGAGGTGGGAGAGTCTGTCCATAGGACAACAATCAGTCGTGCACTGCACAAATCTGGCCTTTATGGAAGAGTGGCAAGAAGAAAGCCATTTCTCAAAGATAAAAAGTCTCTCCATAAAAAGTCTCGTTTAAAGTTTGCCACAAGCCACCTGGGAGACACACCAAACATGTGGAAGAAGGTGCTCTGGTCAGATGAAACCAAAATTGAACTTTTTGGCCACAATGCAAAACGATATGTTTGGCGTAAAAGCAACACAGCTCATCACCCTGAACACACCATCCCCACTGTCGAACATGGTGGTGGCAGCATCATGGTTTGGGCCTGCTTTTCTTCAGCAGGGACAGGGAAGATGGCTAAAATTGATGGGAAGATGGATGGAGCCAAATACAGGACCATTCTGGAAGAAAACCTGTTGGAGTCTGCAAAAGACCTGAGACTGGGACGGAGATTTATCTTCCAACAGGACAATGATCCAAAACATAAAGCCAAATCTACAATGGAATGGTTCACAAATAGACGTATCCAGGTGTTAGAATGGCCAAGTCAAAGTCCAGACCTGAATCCAATCGAGAATCTGTGGAAAGAGCTGAAGACTGCTGTTCACAAACGCTCTCCATCCAACCTCACTGAGCTCGAGCTGTTTTGCAAGGAAGAATGGGCAAGAATTCCAGTCTCTCGATGTGCAAAACTGATAGAGACACACCCCAAGCGACTTGCAGCTGTAATTGCAGCAAAAGGTGGCGCTACAAAGTATTAGCGCAAGGGGGCCGAATAATATTGCACGCCCCACTTTTCAGTTTTTTATTTGTTAAAAAAGTTTAAATTATCCAATAAATTTTGTTTCACTTCACGATTGTGTCCCACTTGTTGATTCTTGACAAAAAATACATTTTTTATATCTTTATGTTTGAAGCCTGAAATGTGGCGAAATGTTGAAAGGTTCAAAGGTTCAAATACTTTCGCAAGGCACTGTATCTCTTCCACATCTCAAAAGTACAATACACCTTCAACTTTTGGACCGTTGGTGTGAAGTGAAAGCAAAACGATATTTTTCTAAAATATTACTTATGGGCTCCTTCCAATAATGGCTTTCTCCTCACCACTAGTCCATAAAGGCCAGATCTGTGTGCGACATCAGTTGTCCTATGTCCTGCTCAGCACCTTGCAGCTCCTCCAGAATCTTGTTGCACTTTGTTTCTGACTAGTGTTCTCCGGTAGGAGAAGGAAGGAATTAAAGGCACTTTAAAACTCTTTACTCTTTTTTAAAATTGTAAAATAACAAAATCATGAGTAATGCTGCTTTCACAGTTGTTTGTTACTTGAGTGTGAACTTTCTGTAAAAAAAAAAAATCTATTTCTATAGATGTAAACATGACAGGACCCCAGGAAAGCACAAGGATTAAGCAAATATAGAGTACAGGAGTTAGTGCTAATGTGTATGTTCTGTTTTTTCACAACACTGCATGTCACAGATAATTTTGATTAATTTGATCCACAGGAGGAGAGGGGGAGAGCGAGGAAGAGGAGGAAGAGGAGCCATTGACGGAGCTGAAAAAGCCCAACTCAGATGAGGTAACACTTATGTGATAAACTGATCTCCTTTCATAAAGTCTTTGTCACATCGTATTCGTAAACAGTGAAACAGGGTGAGAGGTAAAGGCATAAATGAGTGACAGACTAAACCAGTGTTTTTCAACCTTTTTTGAGCCAAGGCACACTTTTTTCACTGAAAAAATCTTGCGGCACACCTCCAGGAGAAAATGTAAAAATGTATACAGTACTAATGTAAAAAAATATATACTGTACATACTCTGTGTGATATATAAAGTATATCGTATCTTATCTTATAATGTATACAGTATACTCTGTAGCCTATATTCACAATATACAGTTATTCTCATCAAAATGCTTAAGTCCAGGCCTTGAAATTAAGCTTTATTTAATATTTCTCGATACAAATAACAAGAGTTTGGGAATAAAGTGGCACTAACTGTGTGGAAAAAAACTAAGAAAATCCACTCTCTGCCCAAATAGTCAAATAATAACTCACACAAAGAACATGCATTGTTAGTGCATGGGAAAAAATTTAGGTATCCGAGCTTTAAATTCAGGAGTTTTGGATGAGGGACACGGGAGGTCCTGAACGCGAGTCCATGGTTCTGTCCGGTCCGCATGTCTGTGGTTCTGTCCACTCGACTATGGTCTGCGCTCAGTACCCAGTTCAGAAGTGCGTTCGCGAGAGCTGTTGTACAAAAATTGTACATTTCATAGTTAAACCACTACAACGCGGCCACAGCTGCCCCGGGGCAGAGCGGAGGATGTTAATCCTGTTCAGAAACGGCATAATTCATTTTCAAAAACGTCTCTATCACTTTCACTTCTCACTCGCCACAAAGCTCTTGTCTCGCTCCCTCCCTCATTTGTTGGTCGCATCCAATTTTACCTTTCTCGCCACAATGCTGACCTGTTACAGCCAGTGGTCGCATCCAATTTTTCAGTTTCAAAGTACTTAGCTATCTGCTGCCATCTACTGATTTGAAAAAGTATTACATGGTTACTCCACAGTTCAAAACAAGTCACCGCTCGTCAATAGCGAATGCAGTTATTTTTAGACAAAGTAGACGAATTTCTCACGGCACACCAGACAATATCATACGGCACACTAGTGTGCCGCGGCACAGTGGTTGAAAAACACTGGACTAAACAAGAAGACTGTTCAGACTCAGTCCTGCAGGAGTTTGGACTGGGACAGGGTGTGGAGCTGAGTAGTTTTTATCACAAAGGTCTGTGATATTCTATAGTTTCTGGAGGAAGAAAGGTGCCACAGAGTGCCCTGTGTACTTTTCAATCGTTATATTAATATTTCTATTATTAAATCTTCACCTGTTTTAGGTGTTAAGATTGTCAAATTTCAGGATAACCATGTGTCCATCTCAAACACTGTCTAATGTGATGCGATAAAAGAGGCTGATGCCGTCTGTGACTGATACTGTGTGTGACTGTGTGTAACTGTGACTGTGTGTGACTGTGTGTGAGTGTGTGTGAGTGTGTGTGACTGTGTGTAACTGTGTGTAACCATGTAACAGGGTACGGCCAGCAGTGAGGTCAACGCCACAGAGGAGATGTCAAACCTCGTCAACTACATTGAACCAGTCAAGTTCAAGAGCTTTGAAGTGGCCAGCAGTAAGTGTGCCACTCTCACACACATGCACACGCAGACACACACATGCACACGCAGACACACATACACATGCACATGCAGACACACAAACGCACAGATGACACACACACACACAGACACATGGAGAACCGGACCCTGTGTCTTTGAGCCTTGTTGGTGCAGGTTTGGAATTGTGCGGTCATTGTCAGTTTTATTTGTGACTGAGCTTAAACTTCTTGATGTTGGTTCAAAATATCAGCATAATTTTCCTTTTTCATGATGCCATTAATGTTATGGAGTGCACCAGCTTATTATTCATTCTTAAGATTATCCTGATAATTCATTTATGGTGCGTTTTTATCGAAAGTGTATGTAAATGTATGACTTCCACTGTAGTGCTTTTGTCTAGCTTTGAGTAGACTAGACTGAGAATTGAACTACACTAGTAAAACTGCTGAATTATAAACATGTTTTTGTATTGTTGGATTTAAAACATTTTGATCCAACAATTCCTGGATCAAAGAAAGTATGTAATAAATATGATAATAATAATTGTGTTTTTTATTGCATAGAACGAAAGAGGTTTTTTGAGATGTCGTCATTTGTGGAGACCAAAGGCATGGACATCTTGAAGAGCTCCCCAGAGAAGTTTGTGGAGTATCCTTTCACCTCGGGCTTCATTTGTCTTATATCTTATGTCTCTATCTACAGTCCATTTGACCGTACAATGAACAAGACATGCACCAACCATGACCAACCATTCATACACACACCAGACTCATTCTAGGAAATGGGGGTGAAGTGTCTTGCCTGAGGACACAACAGCAGTTTGGCACTTTACAGCCGCAGCTGCCCCACTGTGGCTGGTGTTCCCAGAGGTTAAGTGTCTTGCCCAAGGACACAACGACAGCAGACAGTTCAGAGTGGCTGGCACTCACTTATGGATGGAGTGTGGATCTCAGATATCAGAGAGGAGCCCAGAGCACAATCCTCTTGGGTGCGTAAGAGAAGGCATAGGTCACGCTGGAGGAAATGACTCTCATCTGGCCCGGAACACGGGATTCCCCCAGATGAAGTCTGGGCATCTCTGCTTAGACTGCTGCCCCTGAGAATTTGCAATCAATAATGCGGAATAAAATGGATGGACTGAAAGGTGGTTGACGGATGGTTTGCGGCTATAGCGATAGGATTCACACCTCAAGTGCAGTTTACATGTGTACTGGTAAACTGTTAATTACAACACAGAGAAACCAGAGTGCCACAATGGTGTCAATGAAAAAGCTCTTGTTCATATTCTTGTCTCAGTTGCACCAGTCCATAACTGCCCCACAGATACAACAAGAACCAGCTGAGTCGCATCTACCCCAAAGGAACCAGGGTGGACAGCTCCAACTACATCCCTCAGCTTTTCTGGAACGTAGGCTGCCAGATGGTCACACTCAACTTCCAAACCCTGGGTAAGAGTTTTCCTTTTTCTTAAAGACATTACATGCTTCTGTCTGCTAGAGTTTTTAGCAGGTTAAAAACTTTGGCTGCCCCACAATATTTTTATTAGACTCTTCTCCAAACACAATTTAAGAAGTAGTCCAATTGAATCAAATCAATTGCAACACAAATATTTCAGGGCTATATATTTGTTCCACTTTCATTTTATTTCTATGGAAATCATCCCGCGACCCCAAGAGGGACCCCCACTTTAGGAACCACTGTGCTAGAGTTTCCCTGACTAGCAACACATGATCAAATGTAGGAGGGTCTGGGACAGGGAGTCTCTGTACCTTAAGTAAAAACATTTGCAGCCAGTCACAGAACTGGGAACGCTGCGTCCAACCTTTTGAGGCGTAACAATGCACCAAAGTGTAAACATGTTTTAAACCGTGTTTAATGTCACAAATAAGTACAACTAAGACAAATACAGTCAAGTCCTAAGGTACAAAATGACATTCAATTCTGTCTGAAAGGGAGTGCGAAGAAGAAAACTTATTAAATCAAATCCCACTTCTCATCAAAGGTCCCTTCTGAAAATACTAGTGCTCTGTACACATATAAACAATGGTTTTTACTACAGATTATAGTAATAGTCACAGTACTTAGTAGTTGTTTATAGGGACAAATTAAATTAAAGAAGTCTCTACTTTCATTTTATTCTCCGGGACTCAAATGTCTTTTATTTCATTATAAACAGTCTGTGTTTTCAAATAGATTGTAATCTATTTATATAAATAAAGATGACTGACCTGTTTTCCTGCTCAGACCTCCCCATGCAGCTCAACATGGGGGTCTTTGAATACAACGGCCACAGTGGATACCTGCTGAAGCCCGAGTTCATGCGGAGGACGGACAAATGCTTCGACCCCTTCACAGAGGACACAGTGGACGGCATCGTGGCAAACACCATCAAGATCCGGGTGAGTGCTCTGCTGCTGGTGCTGCTGCTGAATATGAAGTGTACTGGCCGTTTCGATAGACTGACACTGACTGACGAGCAGTCACAGGGCCATAGGCAGCGAGCAGACCAAAACAATGGCACAAACGCCTTTAGCTCATTTCATCACAGACACATACAACCAGCAAGAGAAAGACATGGCTTTATAGACTCACATGAGCTTCCAGGTCACAGGTCGAGATTTGACTCTCGACCTACACATGCACATGTACTTTCCCTCCTTTGGAATTTGCCTTGCCGATTTATTATTTAAGGAACTGTTAAAACCAACTGATGGACAAAGGCTGTGTGTCTGTGTATATCTGTGTGTGTGCAGGTGATCTCTGGCCAGTTCCTGTCAGACAAGCGTGTGGGTGTGTATGTGGAGGTGGACATGTTTGGCCTGCCTACCGACACCAAGAGAAAGTACAGGACCAAAACATCCAACAACAACTCCCTGGACCCAGTGTGGGACGACGAGAGCTTCGTGTTCACTAAGGTGCAGCTGCATTTTACAAGTGACCTAACATTTTGCAATTTATACATGATTTTAAAGTTCCTCTTGCAACTCTCAAAACCTGACTAATACTTACTTCCTTTCCCTAAAACCTCCAACATCATGGCAACAAAAAATATGAGATAAATACTGTTGCTTTAACATAACCTCATCTGTCCTTTTTCAAAGTAACACGTGTAATAAAAGGAAAAACAAGAGATACTTGGGTCAAGACAATTATTATATCAACTTATATTAACTATCTGTACCCACACATGACCTTGCACTGGACACAGTAACACAATGGACTATTTTCAGGTGATCCTGCCAACACTGGCCTCTTTGAGAATTGCAGTTTTTGAGGGAGATGGAAAGTTCATTGGACACCGCATCCTCCCGGTCTCTGCCATCAGACCTGGTGAGTGGAACCAGAGCCTTCATCTGGACCAGCTGCCTCTGAGGTGGACTCACGCTGAGCTGTTGTGTTGTTAGGGTACCACTACATTAACCTGAAGAACGAGCTGAACCAGCCGCTGCTCCTGCCCTCTCTGCTGGTGTGCACCGAGGCTCACGACTACATCCCCAACGAGCACATGGGTAAGGCCATCTCACAATCTACAACTTAGTAATTTATCTGTTCATTTATGTCAAACCTGCATAAGAAATACAATCAACTAGAAATGGTACAATGGCTGAAGCCATTGTGAGTGGCTGCATAGATGTTGTAAGGGTGAGGGATGAAGGAGGAAGGGGAAGAAGAGGGAAGAGGATTTAGGAAAAGATGAAGATGAAGATAGAAGAGGAAGATGAAGGAGGAAGAAGATGAAGATGATGAAGTTGATGAAGAAGGTGAAGAAGATGAAGAAAGTGTTGAAGATGATGAAGAAAGAAGAATGTTTTAAGGTGCCAAATGTGTTGTAAAGTGCTGTAAGTGTTGTAAGATGTTGTAATGTATTGTATCCAGGCGTGAACAGGCCATCGGGCATACCGGGCAATGCCCGAAGGGCCGATGCCCATATTTGGGCCGGTCTGTCTGCTTCATACAAAAAACATGTTTGTGAAAAATGTTTGAGGGGGGGCGCGTATGTCCGCGGCCAACTGTTGTATGTACTCGAACGGGATTCCGCCACCTCAGCGGCCGCAGTGTTCCGAGACAGCTGCGGCCGCTTTGTAATGAGCGGTTCAAGCATCCAGCGGCTCTGAGCTGGACGCGGGAACCACGAGATCCGCTCACAACACAACACGGTGAGCGCGCAGCCTCAACGTGACCATATACCCAAGACCATAAACGCGCACAGGACCATGCATGTCTTTGTGTAATCTGTGCACCCAATAAATACACTGCTGCAGGAAACAGTCCGCGTCTCCCCTCTCCTCTCGAAGAGCGACTAAATTAAAGCTCAGGTACCTACATTTTCCATTGCATTAAAAGTTAATGTTTGAGCCCATGTAGTAAAATGTTGTGAACAAATCAAACAGATTTAGTGACAGACAATGGCTGGCATTATGCATTTCAGACTTTTTTGACCAATTCTCATCCCTGTAACAAACAAGAGTGTTGTCTGTGTCCACCTCCTTCACTCTGAGACATGTTTATTACTCTCTTGTAATGTAGACTATTGCACTTTATTTCAATTGTTGAAACTGCACATATCCTGATCCTCTAGTATTTTCTTCCATGCTGTATAAACCAGGGGTCGGCAACCTGCGGCTGGAGTCTTTTAAAAAATGTCTGAAATGGAGTGGGAGGGCTATATTTTATTTCTAGTTTGAATGTGGTTTCTGTAGGATGAAAAACATTCTTAACGTTTTTAAATGCTGCAAAAATGTGCCTAAGTAATATTCAATTTCGACATTTCTGTCAACGTAGTGCGTCATATCCTGTGAAGCGGCCCGCGCCAGGCGGCTGCTGTTGTAAACAAACCGGCATGTGCCATGGATCCCAAAGCTAAAAAGAGAAAGAGTCGATAATAATAACATTTGCTTTCAGTCAATGAGGAAGGACTACTTCATGTTTGTATTGAGAAGTTTTGTTACAACACGAGGAACAATGACGCGCTAAACACCGTTCACGGTGATCACGTGAAGGATTCATTCATCGCAAATTCAGAGCACCTATTAGCAGACTTCAAATACCTTCGCAAAAACGGTGAAAGAAAAGGCCAATAAGGACATTCAGCTCCAGCAAACTTCAGCCTGTGATGTGCACTCTGAGCCAAAAAGCAGATTTATTTACTGTATTTCTACAATTGCATGAAGACAAAAAATGGAAGTTAAAGTTAAACCAGAGTCGTCCTGTGGTGCATCATTCTCTCCAGGACACGCTGCAGTGAAAATACACATTTGATAATCATGAATGCTTATTATGCATTTGTAGCCTTTACTTTGTCATTTAGATATTAGGCTAATGTAGCTAATACAGCTGCAGCCTGTATTACCATCATATAAGCCTTATACAAGGCTGTTATTTTTTGCGGCTCCAGACAGATATTGTTTTTGGCTCTTTGAACCTTTTGAGTTGCAGACGCCTGGTATAAACAAACTGTAAAAAACGTGAAAAAACATGCCTGGGCCGCCAAGAAGGCAAAAATGCCCGAGCCGTTTTTTTGTCCCAGTCCAGCCCTGATTGTATCTGTGGTAATGAATTGTGGTAATGAATAGTGTGGTAATGTGTTGTATGGGGAGTAATCTGTTGTACTGGTCCAATGTAAGTCAATGGGAAAAAGTGTAAATATCTGAAAAAGTGTGAAAAGTAATAGCAATAATGAGACGGTGAAGCCGGTCGTAACGATGTATAAATTTGTTGAATTTGGTGAAAGCGTTGAAGAGTTGAAAAGTGCCAAAATCTGATATAATCACTAGGATAGCGGAGTCTATGCAGCCACTCAATTATTTACAGAAAGCTTATATTTAAACAATCCTCTTCCAACAATTCAGACACACTTTAATACAATACAATACAGAAACAACAAGCAATACTCCACAGTATGCTTCAACGAAACACATCTCACACGCACACACACGCACACACACTACACATACACATATATACACACACACACACACTAACCCCAATGGCAAGAGACAAGGGCTGGTGCTGTGTGAAATGGGTGGGATTAAGACGAAGAAAATGGATGGATGGCAAGATACAAAACAATAACCACATTCACACAGACAAGACACAGGTCCACAAAGTTATTTTTGTTGATAGCAATTGTCATTTCCTCCATTAAGTCGATTAGAGCAGGTGATGTAGTTTTGTCTATTTGACCTTTTTACTGCTGCGGTTCTCAGACTATGACTCCTCTTTCTCCTCTGCTGCTTTGAGATGTACAGCTCTGTAATCTATTGAAAATGGTGTTCTTAGAATACGCAGAAGCCTTGATAAATCCCATCAAACATCTGGATAAACGAGAGACTCAGCTGGCTGTTCTCCTGGACACCGTGGAGGTGAGTCAGTTAGAATTGTGTGCACTCAGCCAAAAAAGGATTTGAGGAGCACTGCACGATCATTTATATGAGAAATAGAAATGATTCTACAGCTGCGTGCCTTGGATTCTTCTTTGACTTGGTGTCAGATTTGTATTCCGTTATTATTCTCAAGATTGTGTGTAAGGGAAGAAGCAACTGTAATTTAGTATCTTGTTTGTCCAGATGTTTTTATTCTTGAAATGATTTGTGTTCAGCATACGGCCAGCGTGCCCGGGGAACGAGAGCTCACCAAAAAAGACGATGATGTCAAACTGGCCTTCCCCTTACCCTCCCAAGTTGCCAGTCCTGTCCCCAACCCCTGGATCGAGTGCCCCGATATCCCCCTGCCAGGTGAGGCTCCATGTGCACTCTTTTATGAGCACTCTTATGGTCACTCCTGTAGTCAACCCTTTTGGTCATTCTTATGTATTGCCTTATAGTTAGTCAATAAAGATATTTGTCTGTTAAATGAGCACGCCTTCAATGCACTGTTGTTTTAATCCAAACCTCGTCCTCTGGTACATTCATCGTCATGTTTATCCATCATTTCCAACAAAATCTGTCTCGTCCCGAACTATGTAGGCTTTCCATTTTGAAAAGCCAAAATAACACAAACAAGGTAGCTCCTTTGAGTTAAATATCATCTTTTGTAATTGTGTCCATTCTAATTCATGTGACATTAGAATGGCACATGGTTCGAGGACCATGTGGCTTCTCGGTGTCATGTTGCCATGTTGTTGTTTTCCATGCACATGTTCCACATGCGTCCTATCACTCTGTGTTGTCTGCTTATGCGTTTAGCCCCCAGCCCAAAGGAGGACCTCATAGCCACTATTCTGGGAGGTAAGCCGGCCCTGCACCCATTGGTCCATTTCTGTGACAGTAGCTAGACCTGTCTATAAATTATAATTAATATATCACTCACTATGTTTATATACGAGCAGAGAATATAGCTACACAACAAGCAACATGTAGACCACTCCTGTCCCAGTATACATGAGGCTCAGTCCACTCCTGTCCCAGTATACATGAGGCTCAGTCCACTCCTGTCCCAGTATACATGAGGTTCAGTCCACTCCTGTCCCAGTATACATGAGGTTCAGTCCACTCCTGTCCCAGTATACATGAGGTTCAGTCCACTCCTGTCCCAGTATACATGAGGCTCACACCACTCTTGTCCCAGTATACATGAGGCTCAGTCCACTCCTGTCCCAGTATACATGAGGTTCACACCACTCTTGTCCCAGTATACATGAGGCTCACACCACTCTTGTCCCAGTACATGCCATCAGCCTATAAATTGATACAAATGTATTGTGTGGGCCTAACTGTTGTTGCATGTTCTGGCTTAAATTCAAGTAATTCACATTTAACCATCTCCCATTCTCAGATATTCCAGTGATGTCCATAGAGGAGCTGAAACAGCAGAAACATTACTTAAAAGCTGTGAAAAAACACAATAGTGAACTCAAAGACATGCGCCGGAAGCACATTAAAAAGGTGGGACTATCTTTACTTCCAGCAGGAATATGGTTTGAATAGATGATAGTGAGTTTGATTGTGTTGTGCAGGTGGTTAACTTGAATAAGGGGCAGAAGAGTCGGAGCTGTAAGCTGCAGTCAGACACTCAGAGGCGGCGCAGTCAGATGGAGAAGAATCTGAAGCGCAGCATCAAAAAGAAGTGAGTTTTCATCTAAGGACCTTTTCAAAATTAGCTTTAGTCTCCAAAATCATGCACTTGGTAGAACAGATTATTGGCACAGACTCCATGCATTCTGTGTTTGACTTGAACACATTGATTTACTTCATACTCTGCTATTTCATAAGATCCAGTCTGAAGGCACAGGAGTGAGGTTTATATTTATGATTGTTACAGTAAAGTGTTCTTTGAATAAGTATTATACAAAAAGGTGTCACCGTCACTTAGCATTTACTGCACGTGAAGATCTGCTGCATATCTCAGACTAATTATCGATACTTTGATGAAGCACCACCTCCATGAAGTTAGAGATTTCAGATACAAAGTTAAAACAATCTTTGATCACATTCTCTGTGGAGATGAATCTGAAGAAGAGCATGGCCAAAGTTGCCAAAGGACACACCCCTCTGTGAAGTAGGAGTCATGTTTAGTTTAGTTTATTTGTTTAAAATGACAAGGACAGCGTAATCAACATTAACCTCAAAGGGAAAGATATATTGTACCAGGTTTTAGCTCAAGAGCTCATTCCCACTCATAGTCCCTGCGCTGATGTTTTGTGGAGATGATTGTTTTAAAATAATGGATTAAGGGGAAGAAAATGGATGGATGGATTATTTTTAAATACTTTATGTGTAAACTTTGCATGGATTTGCCTCGCTAAACAGAGAAAGACTGTATTGGCCGCTCTTATTAGATGAAAAGTCCTTTCCTCAAATCTTCTTCGGGCTCAAGAGTGACCTTTAATGTAGAGTTTACCCAAAGAGAAACTTTTGGGATTGATTTACTGAAAGGACTTTATGATGACTGGATTTCTTTATACTCTTTTGTAATTGTATTTATCTGCATCTACGTCTGTATGTATGTGAAAGGATTTTAAGTATATTCTTTAATCTAAGTTTGGGTGTTTTATGTCTGGGACCAATTCCTTCATCTTTTTCACACATGCTCTTGATTAGGCACGCCCCTACGATCATTCTTCTCTTTTTGATTGTGATTAGACCTGGGCTGATGTGCTGTGTTTATGAAGACATGTTTCGCCTTAAGTGCTGCCGAACTTTTGAATAAGTGGCTACATGAACAATACAAGAGGCTCTGTCTGTCTGCTGTGTTCAGTGAGGCCTTCGACCCCGTCCAGCAGCAGGAGCTGTCTGCCCTGGACCACGAGATCGCGCTGCAGAGCGTCCAGCTGAAGGAGTGGCAGATGACCGAGCTTCTGGAGCTGAGGAGGGAGCAGCACATGGTGGAGCGGAAGAAGCAGGAGGCCCAGCTGTTGGAGGTCCATAGCTTTCACTCTGATAAACACATATAATCATGACGGAGGATGGGGGTTTTGTTTTTCTCGAGGCGCTTCAATGGCCCGTTTTTTTAACTATCACCAATGTCAAAAATCGTCATAGTAAATATCCTTTTCTGCTGCTCTCCTTGTGACTGAAGGCCGCGTCACTGCCCCGCTCTACATAAAACACATTTCCCCTCTCAGGTGCAGACGGAGGCTTCACCCCTAATCCAAGTAGACACCAAGTTTTTTTCTTATTGATTGTCGGGGAGGGGGCACATGGAGACCCCGTGAGAACCCCGGGACACACACACAACCTCACACATAATCATTAGATATGGGAAAAGGCGTCACAACTCATAAGTTGAATACTATCTTGTGAGATTCTTTTCCAGTGTTTTAACCCACTTTGTTATCCCAAGATTTTGTTTTCAGTCTGTAAGTTTCACATCCTTGAAAAGCTGCAGTTACAACTCTTTCCAATAGACTAAACTCCTTCCATTGTTCCACTGCTGAAGTCTGATAGATACAATGCTTTATGTGCGTTTCTGTTAGAAATGTATTCTTGTCAATCATCTAATCATGACAAGTAATAAAATAGATCGAATGTAAACCTCTCCTCTCATGAACCTGATCCACCTCCTCCTCGTGTGGAAATGAGGTCTTGTCCTGATTGTGACTGCTGTGTTTCTGTCCCAGGCCTTTCAGAAGCTCAAAGAGACGGCCAAAGAGTGCCAAGCCTCGCAGCTCAAGAAGCTCAAAGACACATGTGACAAGTGCGTAACAACTCTGCAAGTCTGACTCATTCTGATTTCTGTAGTTTGTGGATTTCTTTGCCTATATTAGTGTAACTGCTTTAAACATCTCCACAACTTCACCTCTGACCTCTCTGGTGAGCTCCTTGGACTTCATGATGCTGTTTACTGACGCTCTAAACAGCTCTGAGGCCCTCACAGAACAGCTTTAGTTTTACTGAGAGGAGATTACTCACAGATCTGTTTAATCGTTTGGATGAACAGAAATGCTGCATGTTCACCTGTGCATTTATAGTTTGTTACTATTAAACAAATCTATCTAAACTCACAAATATACATCACACATGACAGTGATAGACATGATGCTGAGAGCTGGTGAACCAAAACATTGTTGCTTTAATGAAGAACCAGTCCACGTTCCCATTTTGATGAGAAAAAAGACACATGAGGTTGTGGGGTGTGTCCTCAGGGAGAAGAAGGAGCTCCAGAAGATGCTGGACAGAAGACGTCAGAACAGCATCAGTGAGGCCCGCAGCCGAGACAAGGACAAGGCCGAAGCGTAAGTACGGCCGCAGTCAGCCACAGTCAAGATCCATAATGTTAAATTCTTTTGCTGAAGCAACAATAAATGTACAATACAATTATAGTTTTATACATTTGCATTATGACATATTTTTGCGGTTAACATTTTGAAGGCCTTGATTCCTCTGGACCAGCCCTCTGCACTGGGAGTGGTCAGCTGGGGGTCTGGCTACTCAAAGCTTAAAGCTTAGATCTGATTTTTTTTTTTTTGTCTAAATGTTTAAATATTTGAAGTGTCAGAGTAAATCTATGAAACTCAGTGAAAATGTTTGACTATCCTTTATATTATTAATAAAATGGCTTTTTAATAAGTAAGTACTTTATTTATATAATGCATTTTCACAGACCAAGGTCACCCAAAGCACTTTACAATGTTCAGTTCAGATAATGTTCCATTTGCGCCACACGGTGACGACTCAAGCGAACGCCGAACACACTGGTGCATCTAAGTCCCCAACCAACACATCCATTACATCCATACCTATTGTGCATGTTTTTAGTTGAAAGCGGAGAAACCTATGCCAACTCCACTCAGAAAGGCCCTGTCTGGGATTCGATCCCAGGACCTTCTTCCTGAGAAGCGAGAGTGCTAACCACTCAGCTACCGTGTAGCTCTAATATTTCAAATAGTCATCATTGGAGTCTGATGATAGAGCGGTTATTATTAAAATAACTGTCCATTATTTAAATAACTTAAATGTTGGCAATAAACCATTTATTTGTTTCCATTGCTGATGGATTTTCTTCCTTTGTCTCCAGGGAACTCAGCGAGATCAACAAGAAGCACATCCACGACTCGGTGTCCCTGATCCGCAGGGTAAGAGCACGGCTCTCTAAAACATCTCCACAAAGTTCAACTGAAACACACATCAGCTGCTTCACCAGTGCACACAACAGGTTACACAATGAAGATGAAGAGGTTCATTATTTGCACACATTGTTACATTTGCAGATAAGATCAACTGTATTGATCTCACAACATTTAGATTATTTTAGTTATCAAATATTTTGACTGATATGATTACTTGGTAAAAACATGTAAAAGTCAACTTGAGAGCACAACTTGGAAACGCTGATTTTGACCACGAAATATTTATCTTTTTTGTGTGTATGCGTGTGTCTGTGTCTGCCTGTGTCTGTGTCTGCCTGTGTCTGTGTGTGTCTGTGTCTGCGTGTGTCTGTGTCTGTGTATGCGTGTGTCTGTGTATGCGTGTGTCTGTGTGTGTCTGTGTATGTGTGTGTCTGTGTATGCGTGTGTCTGTGTATGCGTGTCTGTGTGTGTCTGCGTCTGCGTGTGTCTGTGTCTGCGTGTGTCTGTGTCTGCGTGTGTCTGCCTATGTGTGTCTGCGTGTGTCTGCGTGTGTCTGCGTGTGTATGCGTGTGTATGCGTGTGTCTGCGTGTGTCTGCGTGTGTGTGTCTGCATGTGTAGCTGGAGGAGGCCCAGAGCCGCAGGCAGGACAAGCTTGCACTAAGGCACAGAGAGGTCCTGCAGCATATAGACGAGCAGCTCCCCCTGGTGAGCACACACTGCCACTACACCCTCACTCTACATTTACAGCAGGACCACAGCTACTTTGGATTTCTTTGACTTTTGATTGACATTTCTGATTTTGATAAGACTCACCTCGAGCAGGTTATAACTGAATTTTTTAGGTCACATATTATGAAAAATTGTCTTTTTTGTGCGTTTAACAACTTTACAACATTTTCTGGCTGATTCTCTTAGAGGGTGAATGTTTAGATCAGGGGTGTCAAACTAGTTCCAGAAAGGACTCCACCCATTTCCTCAAATCTTCAGGTTTAAACTGGACTCACCTGAGGAAATGGGTGGAGTCTCGTGTGCTCCTGCTCAGGTTGAATACAAATCTGCAGCAACACCCGCCCTTTGAGAACCAGTTTGATACCCCTGTATTAGATACAGCTCCAGAGTCGCTTTTAGCTTCCAAATCGCAACAAATCACACTAGAACAACGTGGAATGAGTCAGTGAGCACGTTTTCAAAGCACAAGAATACAACTTGGTCTCTGTCTCTCTCAGCACCAGAACCAGCTGGAGCGGGACCTGGACCAGGAGTTCCAGCAGCTGCCTGAGGAGATCTGCCGCACCCTGCGCACTGAGCTGGGCCTGAAGGTGGAGGCCGGCTCGGGGCCCCCCTCCAACAGCTCCACGCCCTCCTCCACCCCGACCCGCAGGTCCTGGAGCCGCAGCACCGACAACTGCTCCAACTCCTCCCTGAGCTGAGGCCTCCCCATCACACATCCGCCTGAGTGTGCGCTTTTCAAACGCTTTTAAAGAAACATTTCCCCTCGTTTAATATTTATATAATTTAACTACTTTTATCTTTTAATTTTTTAATCTTTTTTGGGGGGTAGTAAATATTTGGTACTTAAAGGAGACGATATAATATTATTTTTGGGGGTACTTTTTAATGAAACTCTACCGCACATAGATCTTTGAGTGTCTTAACTTTATACTGCGATATTGAAACGGCTCAGTAATAAACGCGGTTTCATTCACTTCTTGTTCAAAACTGCAGAACTGGCAGTGACGGATTTTTATGTTTTTAAGATTTGAAAAAAATGGCTACATAATTATCAGGAGTTTGTATGTTTCTGCACTTGTTCCAGAGAAGAGGGCGGTGATAGGTGATGGGTGAAATGGACATTTTATATGTAGTCTTTTTGCTTGCTCGTCCTTCATCCTTGACCTGCTCGTGTCTGTGTTTGCCCCTGTGATAACTTGATTGCGTGCACAGCCTGTGGACTAGCTTGTACAAAAACTACTGAGATTTCAACACAGTCATTCTCTGAGAGAGCAGTGTGTGACCAGCAGGTGGTGCTACAGCCCAGCGCTCCCCCTCAAACCTTGGATTGTGCGTTCCCCCCCCCCCCCCCCCCCCCCCCCCACTGGACTGAAGTGCTTTGGTCTGGAAGCTCAGGTGCATCACTTTTACCAAATCAAATTTTAAAATGTTTTTTCCCTCCACAAAGTGTATCGGAAACACTGGAGTTTGTGATGTCAGCTCCACGTTGAGCTGATGTAAATACAGAACGTTTACACAATTTACATAATTTTTTGTTGTCCATGTTTCAGAGATTATGAACGATAACACTCATTAACCTACATACAGCAACTCAGAAAGACTGAAATGAGGTTCTTCTGACCCTGATCTGTAATCTCCATCTCCCAGTTCTCAATAGCGTTTATCGCCCTTTAACAAAGACAGCTGGGAGTCTTTGGAGGTAGGTTCTTCTTCTTTTTTATCTTCTCAAAAAGCATCCAGTTCCTGTAAATTCCTGGGCCACCTTGCACGAACTGCACGTTAAATCATTTGAAAATAGAAAACACGTTGGAAAGAGTGACATTAATGAGACGCAGAACTGAGGGTATTGTTAAAAATGCTTTATTCTGAGTTTGGAAACACGTACACACAAGTACCATCCGTGTGTTGACTCACACTACACACTTCCTCCTGAAACAGGGTCCGTGGCTGTGCCAAAGCTTTCATGCATAATACTAATGATGTGCCAAAGGACGAGTCTTCAAATGTGAAGGACCAATGTCAGTTTATGAGGTTGTGTTCAAAATTGTTCTGAACTGAAATTATTTTTCTCCTAAGTCTGTGCTGGTGTAGGATCGCTGAATGACATTATTACTACAACAATTTCTAAATCCTTTTTTTTTTCATCCATCCATGTTTTTATCTGTATTTGTGAGTTTCATTTGAGTTTTGAGAGTTTGAGTCAGTGGCAGCTGCCAGTCATGTGCATGTGCATGTGCATGTGCATACACCACACAGGCTACAACTGTACATGGACTTAACCCTTGTGTTGTCCTTGGGTCAAAATGACCCACCACAGCTATAAAATGTTAAAGATACCCTAAATTAGGGTTTTAAAGGGTATAAATAACCCAGGATTGGGTAAATTAGGAACAATCCTTAAAATTCAGCTAAAAAAAAAAGATTTGTGATTGGTCAATTTAACCCAAGGATGTTAAACATGTTTTAATAACGGACTAATGAAAGTGTAGTGTTGATATTCACTGCTCGTGGAACATGACGCTTTACCCAACAATCCAAGGTATAACGTCACATTTTATAACCATAGACTTCATTGGGGTCTCACTGGTACATGTTAATATAAACATGCAGAAAGATTACAACTTATTGTAACATAGTTCGAATCTCTCCAAGTGATGTCTTTAAAAAGTCATTTAAAAACAAATCCTCGCCTAAATAGAGAAACACGTTTTAAGTGAAAACTAGAATAAAATAAGAGAATGTGCTTTATTTTGATGTCCCAGAGTATGGCATTAAACATATAAACAGCAGATGAATTATTGATCACTTATGAATACTTTTACAAGACTTTTCTTGTAAAAGTCTGAATACGTTTTTGTCTGAAAAAGTGAAAGTCAGGTACCGCAGCTTTAAGAAGTAGATATATTCTCAGTACAATGAGTTAATTACAACACATTGTTTCACAAGATTATTGGCTCAAGCCTTTTATTGTGACTGATCTTCTCTGCCCTGGTCTGCGACCGAGGCGCCTGCCCCAGGACTCTGACACTGTTTCACACCGTGGTTCTTTTCCTTCTGTCTCATAAGTCGCAGCACTTTAGGTCCTCTCATGTACATTGTGTACATGTCACTGGTACATTCCTCTGGCTTACGGTACTCTCATTTGATATTTATTCAAATGCACTATTACCCACTAGTCAATTTTTGTTTCCCTTTCCGCCTAACCATTAAAGGAATAGTTCACCGTTTTTACATACTGACATATGTTCTTACCTTACCTTAGACTAGTTAATATGTACCTGTCTGGTCTTAGTCCGTGCGCTCTGTCATGCAAACGGAGCAAAAACGGGAGCACAAACGCAGCCTCCTCTGTATACTGTATAGTACCCAAAAGGTAGCTCCCGCTAGAAGCTACCAAACTCTTCCAAGTGTTCCCTATTAAATGTATATAGTTACGTGACGTGTTACACTGCAAAGTATAGTAACACAGAAATGTAACAGTCAATTTTCTCAGCGGATAAAACGGGTACTATATTGTGAGGCGTAGTAATCTGAGGAGCGCTACGTCCGCGCACTAACTTCTCTCCGGAGACTTCTCTCTCGCTCACTTCCGTCAATAGAAGCAGCGTGACTTGTAGTACGGAGAGAAGTTAGTGCGCGGACGTAGCGCTCCTCAGATTACTACGCCTCACAATATAGTACCCGTTTTATCCGCTGAGAAAATCGACAGTTACATTTCTGTGTTACTATACTTTGCAGTGTAACACGTCACGTAACTATATACATTTAATAGGGAACACTTGGAAGAGTTTGGTAGCTTCTAGCGGGAGCTACCTTTTGGTCCTACACAATATACAGAGGAGGCTGCGTTTGTGCTCCCGTTTTTGCTCCGTTTGCATGACAGAGCGCACGGACTAAGACCAGACAGGTACATATTAACTAGTCTAAGGTAAGGTAAGAACATATGTCAGTATGTAAAAACGGTGAACTATTCCTTTAACATTAGATTAGATGTTATTTAGAGCTTAACAAAACCACTAAGATCTTTCCCCAGTCGTCTGTAAATATACTTGTGTAAATACTCCTGTAGTGAAAGGGGAAGTCGTTTGTGTCTGGATGAAAACCACTCGGAATGCATGATTGTTGATTGTAACAATGGAGCTACATCATAGTAAATGTTTTTCAGGATTATTTATACAAACAGCACCTGTGACCAATGCTGCATGTCTATTGTCAACACTGTACCAATGTATATTTGAAAAGGGAATAATATCCATGGTTCGTATTGGTGACTATACTGTATATGATGTCATGTTGGATAATAAACATACAAAATGGAAATCAAAAGTGTTTTTTTTTTTATTCATAATTCAAATCACATGTTGGTGGGGAGGCCTGGGTCTCTGCTCCACCAGTGTGGTATACATGTAATGTTTTCTTGAACTTCCACCAGGGAAAGACATCAGGGATTCTAATGTGGGGATTTCTTATCAAGTGTGTAGACTAAAGAGTGTGGTGACTCTTGGGAGAATAATTACAAATGTTGTGTTTTTATACTTACATAGAATTACAAGTTATGTTCTGAATCTGAATCATCCCAATTTTCAAATCAATTGACCTAATTTGTAAGCAGTCTCCTTCTGTCACTGTTTAGTGAAAAAATTGTTCCAGTATTTTAGAACTGACTTCAGGGCTCTATGATTGGAGAGCTATTTCATGCAAGAAACGACAGATGGCACAGATGGACCAGCACAAGTGAAGTTGTATGAACATAACCTGTGGGATACCGCAAGGGTCAATACTGGGACCCACATTATTCATACTGCACATAAAATAAGTGCAACCATGAATAAAGTACGGCTCCTTACGTGAAACTGGACGACATATTCTCTGAGCTCTGTCCAATCTAAGCAGACAATGCTCAACAACAAAGTACAGAAGCTTTTCTCAGCCCCTACACGTTTGGCACGTTATAAAATAGGAGTCTCCACCCTTTTTTTAATCAGAGCTACTTTGTTTTTTTTTACAACAGAAGAGGCAGAGAGATACTCCTTTTGGCAGTCGTAATCAAAATCTTTTATTACTAATATGTAAAATATACCATAATACTGTATATAAACGTATATTTATACTTAATAATAATAATAATAATAGATTAATATTATTAATTATTAATATTAATATTAATTATTAATAATAATAATAGATATGTAATGACTATATATATATATATATATATATATATATATATATATATATATATATATATATATATATATATACATTCAAGATTATGTGTAAAATTCTAAATCCGTTGGGGAGCCAACTAAGGCTGGTGAGCTACTGGTAGCTCCCGAACAATAGGTTTGGAGACCCCTGTTGTAAACACACCGGCCTGCAATTTGTAACCATTATGATTTATAATGTATTTTGTAATGTGTGAGAATCCAGCCACCACCCTGCCCAGTCAATTGTCCAGAGACAACAATCAATTTGTTAACTACCAAATCTATCAGAATAAGCCGCATAAACAGACACAATAATCAGATATGATCTGAGTACAATCATCCAATACCTTACTTGTTGGCTCGTTTTTTGAGTCACTTTATATCTTTGACGCTTGGAACTGAAATCTACCTCATTGTGGCATCTCTATCATTCTACTATCAAGCTGCAACCATTTGGTCAACGCCTATAATATAAAAATCTTGGGGTTCAA